GGACATCGCCTCTTCCGCGCACGGGAGGTGCCGTCGTCCCCGTCTGAGAAGTTACGAAATGCTTCCAAAATGCCCTACTTTCCATAAATATCTTGCTCAGTCCGTCTGAATTTTCTCCAGCAGGAAGACGTTGACTCGAGAGCCTGGCAGACTCGTACCTGCAAAGGCGCTGTGTGCTCTTCCGCCCTCCTTCTCCGTCCTTCTGCGCCTCTGCGCTCCCGCACGTTGGGGCAGGACTGGGCCGCGACCCCGGGCGCCCGGGAGCGCGCCCTGGTCAGCCCCCAGGCTCGCACGCCAGCGGTGACCCGGTTCTCTGTGCGTGCGGAGCCCGGAGGAGGGACTTGACAGGTTCTCGTCCGCCCCTGAGTTGCAGTATCCAGAGCATCATCTGGTTTCCAACTCGCTTTCTTCTCCGCACTACCGGGGAAGCCTTGGGATGCGCCGGGTGTCGGGCGTCCTGCATCCCAGGGGTCGCTAGCTGCCACCAGAGCGCACCTGGGCTGGGACTTCGTGCCCCCACTGACGCACGTGCCTGAGGAGGCTCCGCCGTGGGAGGAGCCCGCCCCGGGTGTCCCCAAAGCCAGAAACTGCTCCCCCGGTCCCCCACCCCCCGCGCCCTTCTCACCTGGTGCTTTGTGACCTTGAAGCTGCTCGTTCCCCTGTGACAAAACGAAACGCCCAAGGCCCTGAGATACAAGCGCCCTGCACTCCGGTCCTTCCTCCACGCTGACCCTTGCAGCAGCTAGGGACCCCTCCTAAGAAAGGAACGAGTGTGTGGATGAGAAAAGAAATCAGCCCGTGTGACTTACCTGGCGCCATTGAGAGTCCTGTCCTCTTGTAACCGGCAGCATCAGCAAGGCCACTGCCTAATTCAAGAAAACTAACCGCTGGTGATTTGTTTCTGGGGGAGCCGGTGTTGTAGGGAATCCTTCATTATTACCCTTACCTGTTGAACTGGACTTTCTAACCAGCAAAGGAGGGGCAGGCCCAGAACCTCAGGAATGTAGGGCTGTCCCTACGGTGCTGGGATGAACCAGACTGAACTCAGCAGGGCCCAAAGGGACGGGCAGCCTGGGTTCTGTACCCACAAGTGCAGTGCTGTGGCTTCCCTCCTACAGCGGGTTGTAAACAAAACTTCTGTCCAGAGCGTCTCTGAGCAAGAGAAGGTAATAGGGGGGAAGTCAGGGCATTGAAACATCCAGAAAACAGACAGCTTTGGAAGAGGGTGACTCACTTCCCTTGTGCCTCTTGCCCAGGGGCGGGCGTGGTCACCTTGCATCTTCTGGGACCACTGGTGACTTCACAGCCCGCCGTCTCAGGGCTTCATCCAGGGTGAACTTTCCGTGACACCCTCCATCAGGCAGGTGTCCGCCCCCCTACTGCTCCCCCAAGGCATTCTCCAGCCCTGCCTTTCCCTGTGAACTCCTCCACAGATTACTCCCATGTCAAAGTTCCGTGTTTGATCCTGTGGGGTTCCTTGCACACGTGCCATGACCAACCTCCTCCGTTCCCAAGGCTCAGATCATCAGGAGGCTTCTAAACCTGCCCCCAGACCCACAGCTCACTCCACAGTTCCTACGGATCCTCCCTGCTCACCGGGTCCTCCCCATGGATGAGTCCCTCACAGAGCTCTTCCAGTTCCCTCTCCAGGCCACAGCCTAGGCCGCTATGCTACCCTCCTCCTCCTCTCCCTCCTCCTCCCTCCTCCTTTCCCTCCTCTCCCTCCTCCTCCCCCTCCCTCCTCCTTCCCCTCTTGCACCTCCTGCTCCTCCCCATCCCCCCTTCTCTCCTTCCACCTTCCCTTCTTCCTCCCCCTCCCCCCTCCTCCTCTACCTCTCCCTCCTCCTCCTCCTCCCCCTCCTCTTCCTCCTCCACAGGCTTGGTCTCTGTGCCCACAGCTACAGCTCCTGCTTGGCCTTGTTTGCAGCAGCCTCCTGACTGATTACTGGGCCCCAGTTTTTCCAGGGACTTCCAGGATGCTTATTCTCAAAACCCTCTGCAATTGTAACTCCTGTGCTGGACGGCCTCTCCCGGGTTCCTGGTTGCCTACACTACAGAGCGTGGTCCACAGCAGCACTGTCTCAGCTGGCTCGCCTTCCACTCTTCTCCGGCCGCGCTGAATTTCCCCACACTGCTCCCTGTGTGTGCAAGGCTCACCCCTGGGCTGTGCAGGGCCTCCCTGCTCCCCGCCAGCAAAGCTCCCCACTGTGCTTGGTCCTTTCTGGGAAGCTTTCCTGAGCTCTCCCAGAACTGGTTGCTTGAGAACACCGTGCAGAATCAAAACTCAGCAAAGATGCACTGAGCTAACACATACACGAGGTCAGCCCTGGTGCGTGTGGTGAGAGCCTGGCACTGAGGTGTCCCCCCAGGGGGCTAGTCAGTGAGTTTGCATACCCCGCGGTCACTCGCACCCCAAGCTGTCCCTGCTCAGGCTCCAGGATCTCGGATTCACAAGCCGCAAGGACTCGTGCTCTGTGGTGGCTGGCATTGACCCCATGGAAGAGGCAGGGTGCCCAGCTCGGGGCTGCAGTGCCCAGCCCCTCCGCTCGGGTCAGGGCACAGCAGCAGCAGGTGGGGAAACCCCACCACAGTGGGTCCCTTGGGAATTTATCTCCGTGCTGAAGGTCACGGGCAGAGCACAGCTCCCGGTGCCCTCAGTCAGGAGAGCTGTGCGGGGGACACCTCTCAGCAGGCATGCCTGCCCCCCCAGAGCAGCTGGGCCCGGGAAGGCCACAAAGGCACCATGGGGCAAGGTTGACCCAATACGGAGAAGATGTTTATGGATCTGATTGCGGCATCATGCGTAAGGGTGCTTTGGGAGAGAGGAAACAAACACGTGGTCCGTGCGTCCCCTTCCAGTGAGGACAGGGGGCCCTGAGTGGGCTGCGGGCAGGAGCCGGGCCCGGGACAGGCATGCTGGGGTGGCCACAGGCCGTTGTCGCTGGCACCGACCTTGGTTAGGTGTTAGAGTATGCACTTGTTTTTCTCTTTGATTTATGTACCTACATGGAATTCACTTGTGTTAAACATATAGTTCAGTGAATTGTAGAAACCAGAGCTGTGGGGCGCCTGGGGGGGCTCAGTCGGTTGAGTGTCTGACTCTTGGCGTCAGGTCAGGTCATGATCTCTCTGTTCCTGATTTCCAGCCCCGTGCTGTCAGGGCAGAGCCTGCTTGGGATTTTCTTCCTCCCTCTCTCTCTGTCCTTCCCCTGCTCCGCCTGCTTGCGTGCTCTCTCTCTTTCTCTCTCTCAAAATAAATAAATAAAATTAAAAAAAGAGAGAGAAATCAGAGCTGTGCAGATCCCGCC